TCCTGGTGTCTGAAAATTTTGATCTTTCATAGTTCAGTCCAGTTGTCATTGGATTTAAGACATTGACCATTATAAGCTCCATGAAGGCAGGTACCACATTTGTCTTGTTTATTCCTGTAATTCCAGCATCCACATCAGTTCCTGACACATAAATAGCAGTTCCATAAATATTTATTCAATTAAAAAATGAACCAAATATTATTTGTGACATTAAACATTATTGGTCATGATTAACCTTGTGATATAATAGTTTGTTAAATGGCTAGTAGAAAATAAAGTTGTAAGGTAATTGAAACACAGTTCAGATCAATTCTAAGAAAGTTAAATGATAGATCTGTAATGGTTATTTATCTTTAGAGGGGGAGGGAAGGAGAGAGGGAGAGAAAGATCACTGTGTGGTTGCCTCTCATGCGTCCCCTGCTGGGAACTGGCCTGCAACCCAGGCATGTGCCCTGACTGGGTATCAAACTGTGGTCCTCTGGTTTGAGGGGTCGCACTCAATCCACTGACCTACACCAGCCTTGGCCTCCTTGCCCTTCTTTTAGGAGCCTTCTTAATGTCAGAAAGCTCAGAATTTCCTGCAGGATACTAGATCTTTATTATTTGTTGATTGAGATAATATATGCTTTAAAAAGGTTAAAAATGTTCATTAATTTTAAATGAATATATATATTTATAATTGATAGATCTTACATTTAGCTAGACACATACTTTATTTCTAAATAAGTTTTGGTGCATGTAAATTTGTGGAGTCTTTGGGGTCCAGAACCTCTTGTTTCTTTGGGAACCACTGGCCTAGACCTGCTACTGGAGTGTGGTCCACAGGCCAGCAGACATTACTATTCCCTGGGGGAAGTGTTACAAATGCAGGGTCTCAGACCCTACCAGACCTATGGAATCAGAACTAGCATTTTAATAAGATCCTCAGGTGATTTAACTGCACATTATTTGAGAAGAGTTTATTGAACACATGAATTTTGTTCATATTGAGAAGACCACTGAATTTTGTGGGGGGGGGGGAATGGGGTAGGGGGCAAGGAGGGATAGGAGGAACGGGCCAAGCCGAACAGTGTAGAAAAAAACAATTTGGCTTACTCGTCTACTGTATCTTAGAATGGTTCTGTTAATTAGTTGCATAGGAATTCCCGAAAAGGAGGTGTGTGTTGTGTGTATGTGTTTAATATTTTTGTGGTTTTATTACCATGTGAGTAGACTTGTTAATGAAATATTGTTTGATTCAAGTGAGATTCAAACAGAAGTGTTAGTGAATTGCTAATAGCACATTGTTTGTTATCTATTTCTTAAGGAAATAGCATTGATCTTTTGGGAACCTACTTCTACTCATTTTTTTTTTTAATAAATTTATTTTTAGAGAGGAAGGGAAGGAGAGAAATATCAATGTATGGTTGCCTCTTGTGAGTCTCCTGCTGGGAGCTGGCCTGCAACCCAGGCATGGGCCCTGACTGGTAATCAAACCGCGATCATGTGGTTTGCAGGCCCGCACTCAATCCACTGAGCTACACCAGCTAGGGCTACTTCTACTCTTTTATCTAAAGGAGTAAATGCACATTTGTCCCTCACAACCATAGTGTAGTTTTGTTGGGATTTAACAATGGTTAATTTTTACATTCATCAGTGCGCTTTTCAGTCCAATGGTATTTGAAAAACAACACATATGTTCTACATCATCTTCATGTATTAAGGATAACATATTGCCAAATATCAGCCTCTGTGGAAGAATTCAGATTCATTATTTTTTACTTGACTGTCTATAGACCAACAATTAAGTAACCATAAGAATAAATTGATTGGTATTTGGCTGTAACCTTAGGATCCTTCTGTAGAAATTGGTCCTTTTCCAGAGGGACTGATAAGAAAGCTTGGTTTAGTGCTTAAAATCAGTGAAGTTGGTGGCAGTAGGGTGTCTGAATTGGGGGATACTTTCTTTGCACTTATAGGATATTACTTTTTCTTTTAATTTTAATTTTTATTGTTAAGTGTTTATTTATTGTGTTAATTCATTCTAATATTTTTCTTTATTTTCCCCTTTGTTCCCCTGCACCCAGTACCTCTCATTCCCTCAGACAATTCCCACACCATTGTTTATGTTTGTGGGTCATGCCTATAATCTTTGGCTACTTCATTTCCTGTATAGTACTTTACATCCCCAGGGCTATTCTGTAACTACCTACTTGTACTTGTTAATCAATCCCCTCACCTCCTCACCCATTTCCCCACAACCCCCTCCTATCTCCATCTGGCAGCCATCAAAACACTCTCTTTAGCCTTGATTCTGTCTCTGTTCTTGTTTGGTTAGTTTGTTTTTTTTAGGTTCAATTGTTGATAGATATATCTTTATTGCATTTTTATTGTTTGTAGTTTTGATATTCTCTTTGTTTATAAGACCCGTTAACAATGCATATAATAATGGTTTGGTGATGATATAAACTCCTTTAGTTTTTCTTGTCTGCGAAGCTCTTTACCCTTTGACTCTAAATGATATCTTTGCTGGGTAGAGCAATCTTGGCTTTAAGTCCCTACTTTCCATGACTTTGAATATTCCTTCACAATCCCTTCTAGCCTGCAAAATTTCTTTTGAGAAATTATTTGACAGTCTTATGGGAACTCACCTGTAGGTAACTAAGTGCTTTTCTCTTGCTGCTTTAAGATTCTCTCTTTATCTTTAACCTTTGCCATTTTATTTATTTATTTATTTATTTTTTAATATTTATTTATTTACTTATCTTTAGAGGGGAAGGAGAGAGGGAGAGAAACATCAATGTATGGTTGCCTCTAGTGCGTCCCCTGCTGGGAACTGGCCTGCAGGGAACTCGCTTGCAACCCAGGCATGTGCCCTGACTGGGAATTGAACTGCGATCCTCTGGTTCGCAGGCCTGTGCTCAATCCACTGAGCTACACCAGCCAGGGTAACCTTTGCCATTTTAATATTGTGTCTTGGAGTAGGTCTCTTTGCATCCATTCTATTTGGGGAATATTTTCTTTGCTCTTACAGGGCTTTTTAACTTCTGCTTTGCAAACTTCTTGTAATATGGAAATATTTACATATTTACCATACATACTTTAGGTTAGTATGAAATTTATTAAGCAGCTAAAGTTTTAGTTTACTATTTTTCCTTGAGTTAATAATGAGATTATTTCATACAGATTTTTGGTAATTGTTCTTAAATTTAAGTTTTAAAAATAAACTACATTGTTTAATTTTGAATCAGAATTTTTTTGTACTTTGACTATTATAGATGGGCTGTTATAAGTTTGACTTGTTTATGAGTAAAGTCCTAAAATATACCAAATAATTTCTAAACCAGCACACAATTAATCTCAATAGATATTTGTGAAATACAAATTAGAAGAATCAAAGATATACCATTTCTTACTGTATCGAATTGGCAAAAATTAAAAATTCTGAGAGTATCTAACATTGATAAGGATATAGGGAAATGGGAATTTTTAACTAATATCGATGTTGGAGAAATGTAATTTAACCAAAAACCTCCTGCCATCTCAGAAAGCCTCTCTTTAAAGGTCGAAGAAAAAGAAAACAATTTTATTTTTGAATAAGCATTAATCTAGAATGTGATGCACATCACAAGCAATCTGCTAAGAGATTGCAAAGATCTAAAGAGAGCTCTTCCTTTTAATGGAGGTACGTAGATACAGCCAATTACACACATGCTCTGAAGGCAAACTATGACGGTTGTCAAGTAAGAAGACTTGATGGCAACATTTGTCACACATCTGTGTTGTCTTTAACTAATTGGTTTTATCCAAAGGAAAAAGAAGCATTTATGACAGTAGGTACTTGAAATTACCTGTGTGGCTAGGTGGTCAACTCAAATTAGTCTCCTATCTTTCCTCAGAAACTGGCAGAGAGGGGAGTTGTCTTCCTTGATCATACTTCAGAGAGATGGCTACCAGGTCCTTGAGAAAGTCAGTCCTGGGTTGTTGGTTAGAAGCTTATTTAGCTTTTAAAAATATTTATATACATTTCAAAGGTGCAGAGAAAGATTGAATAATTACAAGTTTTCTGGAGAAAATGCTTTTAAGAAAAATGTGTGTTGGGTTTCTCTTCCCTTAGTTTTAACAGGGAGAATTAAACTTCTTAATTCTGTTTTGTCCTTATACTGATGGGTAAATTGTTTCAGCTGCATTAGTGGGCAATTTAGCAATGTTGTAGTAGAGCTGAGGATATTATCCACTACTTTTACTTCTAGATAAGTCCCATAGAAACTCTTAACACATGTTTACGAGAGGTTTGTAGCATTGTCTATTAACAGTGAAATGGAAATTGCCAAAATGTCTGTGAACAGGAGGATGAATGAATTGGGGTATATTCATACATTACAGTACTTAACAGGGATGTCCAACTTTTTGGTGTCTCTGGGCCACACTGGAAGAAGAGTTGTCTTGGGCCACACATTAAACACACAAACAGTAATGAAAACTGATGAGCAAAAAAAAAAAGTTTTAAGTAAATTTACGGTTTTGTGTTGGGCTGCATGGGACCCACGGGTTTGACACTACTGCACAGCATTGAAAATGAATGAATTGCAACTCCATATATCAACATGAATCATTAAAAAAAAAGATTTTATTTATTTAATTTTAGAGAGAGGAGAAGGGAGGGAGAAAGAGAAAGAGAGAGAGAGAGAAACAGCAATGTGAGAGAAGAACATCGATTGGTTGCCTCTCATAAGTGCCCTGATCTGGGACCACACCCACAACCCAGGCATGTGCCCTGACCAGGAATTGAACAAATAGATAAAAGCAAGTTTAGTTTATTCAGTACTTGACCATGCCATATTGCTTGCTAGAGTCTTTGTGTGTAGTTGCTTAAGTTTCAAACATTAATGTTCAAACGATCCTATTGTCTGTTAAGGTATTTTAGTCCCAAATAGGTTTAATGAGAGTTTTATGTCATGTATGGTTATCCATAGCACATTGCTTTGCTGACTCCAATTTCTCTCTTTGTCTTTTTACAGGACCGCAGCTGAATGCACAGCTAGAAGGTTGGCTTTCACAAGTACAGTCTACAAAAAGACCTGCTAGAGCCATTATTGCACCGTAAGTTTTAAGGGTCTTTACCCAGAATATCTCATATGTTAATTGTTAATAGAGAATGAGTATCTACTGGTTGCGCTGTAAATCAAAACCCCAATGATATGCTGTGCTGACAAAATTGCATTCAGTAAATTTCGTGAATCCCATAACTTTAACTCAGGGGTAAAGGAAATTGGCCACTTTATTTTCTCAAATGCAGCAATTTTAAAATTTATTTTTGGTAATAAAACTGACTTAAAGCAGAGGGATATTTACATTATATAATCTTGGTGATTTCAGTAATAATTTATATAAATGAGTGAGTTCTATTTTAAACATTAAAAAAAATCTTCTTTAATCCACATACTTTTAAACTTATAATGAAAAATATGCATTAACCATAATACGGTGCAATATGGAGTAGCAACCAGAGTTTTCCTGGAAGAATAGATTTTTTTGTAATGAAAGTCTTTGAGTCTTTTGTCTTTGAATATTAGGGGGCTTTTTAGAACTGAGAGATGACAAATGTACTATTAATGATGTGCCTGTGTATGATAGGAATCCAGTTAATTTTGATTTAGTTTCCAATGCTAATATTCAAACTGCATTTTTAAAGCACACGTTAACTTTTTTTTTATGAAGAGTTAGAGTTGGAGTTTGTGGAGTTTCTTCTGACAGCAGTATCTTTATGACTTCTGTCGAGTTAAGGTTTGGTAACCTGATAAATAATAAGTAATGAAAATAATGATAGCAACCATTTATTAAACGCTGTGAATTAAATGAGTAAAAGCACATAAAGATCCTACATTAACGTTTGGCATGTAATAAGTATTCCATTAATGTTATGTATTTTATGTGCCAAACATTTTGTTAAGTACTCCATTTGTGTGTTCTCACTCGATCTCATTCATAGAGGAGACTGATTGTACCACTATAAGTTTTATGGCGGACAAGTTATTTAATTTCTTGTGCCTTTTCTCATTAATATAATTGGAATAATAGTACTGTGATACAGTTTTTTGATGATAAAATGAGCTAATCTTTGTTAAAATTTGAGCATAATGACTTGCAATTATTTATTTGGTCATTCAGCAAATATGTACCAGGCTAAATGCCAGGTACTCTTCTTTGTGATGCTTTTGGAATAATTTAGAATCTCTTCTCTCTTAGTGCTTTCATTTTAATACTGGAGAAAGACAGTAAACAATTAATTACATTCTTTGTCAGGTGCTGATGGGTGCTAAGAAGAAAAATAAAGCAGATAAGAGGATTGAGAGTGACAATATAGGTAGGGAGTTGCTAGTTTATATAGGATAGTTAGAACAGGTCTGAGAAGGTAACATTTGAGCCTAAATGATGGGAGAGAGAAGCTACACAGATGCATAGAGAGAGGGTTTCAGGCTGGGAACAGCAAGCACAAAGACTAGGGCAGGGTATGCTTAGCGTGTTTGAGAAGCAAGGAGGCTGGTGTAGCTGGAGTGGCATGTGTGAGTGAAAGGGGAACGGGGGAGATAGGCATCATGGAGAGGCTTTATAGGCTGCCATAAAAACTGGTTTTTACTCCAAGTGAATGGCAAGTCATGAGAAGTTTTGAGCAGAAAAGTGACATGATCTGACTTAGGTTTGAAAAGGATTACTTTTGCCTGCTGTAAGGATGTTCAGTTTTGTGGCAACAGGGAGTCCAGTTTAGGATGGGTATTGCAATAGTACAGGAAAGAGATGACATAGTGGCTTTGACTAAGGGCTAGTGGTGGAGGTGATGAGAAGCAGTGTATTCTAGATATATTTCTAAGGTAAGTACCAGTAAAATAGAAGAAGAGTCAGTGAAAACTCTTAAGTTTTGGTGCTTGTGAAACTGGAAGGTTGGAATTGCTTTTATACTGTTAAGGGCAAATGGGTGGAAGTAGGGAGTGGAGTTCATATTAGAATCTAGGAATTGACTTTGACCGTGTTAATGTTGAGATCCCTATTAGCTATCCAAGTAGAGATTTCAAATGGGCAGGCAGCTAGATATATGAACTGTAGTACAGGGAATAAGGCCAGGCTGCTTTAGTGTATATATCACAGGCTGTAGTTGGCCAGGGTGTAAAATAAAGATAGAGAAGAGGTTCAAGGACTTAAGCCCCTTAGGCAAACAACTTTATGTAGAGGGCAGATTGAAGATGAGCATTTACAAAGGAGATATTGAAGGAGGACCAGTGAGCAAAGAGGAAAACCAAGGATGAAGAACGTTTCTGGGAGGCAAAACAATGAAAAATGTGTCAGGGAGGAGCAAAGGATCAGCTCTGTGAAATTCTGCCAATTGGTCAAATAAGATGAGGACTGAAAATTGATCATTGGATTTTGCAATGTGGATATTGCTGGTTTACCTTGATAACAACAATTTCTGTGGGGTGTTGGGATAAAGGCATGATTGGTGTAGGTTCAAGAAAGAATCCGAGAGTGAAATGAAGATGAAGTGAGTGTACTTAGTCCCCTCCCCTCTCCCCCAGGAATTTTGCTGTAAATTAAGCAAATAGGGCAGTGGGAATATGGTGTCAGGAGAATTTTTATTCAGGATAAAAGATAGTAAAGTGTTATAATGTTGATGAAATGAACGAGTGGAGAAGGAAAAATTGATACAGGGATAAGAGGGGAATTTTGTAAAAGTGAAGCCCTTGATTGGGGGAGAAACAGTGGATCTCTTTGTAGTAACTCATGAGATAGGTTGTATTGTCTTGCACATTGTTTTGCTGGTGTTGGGCTATTGCGGTTTGCGCCCCTCCTAGTTAAAACTTGTTACAAATGTGGGAGCGGAGCTGAATCAACATATAATTAAGTTGAGGTTAGTTATTTATGAAAAAGTAGCCAGACTTGTTTTTTTCTTGTAGTTAGTGTAAAATTGAAATCGCTGGCTGTGGCCTGGGAAATGAAGTATGCGAGCCTAAGTTCCAATATATTGATTTGTAAAAATTTTAATTTCCAAATTACCTTAAGTTTTTTTTTTAAAGATTATTTATTTATTTATTTATTTTTAGAGAGTGGGAAGGGAGGGAGAGAGCGAGAGAGGGAGAGAAACATCGAGGCTGCCTCTTGTATGCCCACAACCTAGGAGTGTGCCCTGACTGGTAATTGAACTGTTGACCTTTTACTTTGCAGAATGACACCCAATCAGCTGAGCCACACCAGTCAGGACCAAGTTACCTCAAGTTTTAAAATGGATATTTGAAAATAGTTTTGCCTATGGTATACTTTTTTCTGCTATATAGGGACCTTGTAATGTTGATGCATATATAGGCAGTATCCATTTTTGTTAACATATGATCATATAGTATAGTAATTTGTCATACTAAATGGTTTCCAGAAGTATTTTCCTTTGCAGAGTTACTTTTTTTTTGAGGTAGAAAAGTAACATGTTTTTTATTGTTGTTATACTCATATAAGCACAAAGGTTTTTTTGTAAGAATATGCTTATATAATAATTAAAAAACTGAAAATTTTAGGATTTTATTTTTATTTCAAATCAAGTCAATCAAAACATGCTTTAAATTTTATAAATTCTAGCTCTCTGGAATCAGCTTTTCTTAGATTTTGCTTTATAGGCATAAATCATAAAATGGGGATCATAAAAACACAAACACAGAACCTAGATAGCACACTTTTGAAAGTGCTTAAGCAGATTGCTCATTTTTATATTGATGTAGATTAAATAGGATGATACAATTAAAGAATAAATATTGACCCTTAAACTAACTGTTGATCAATCTTAATGACTCTAACCCACAGGTGGCAAACACAAGGCCCACGGGCCGAATCCAGCCCTCCACCTTGTTTTATACAGCCTGGCAACTTGTTTCTACCCAGCGGCAATGCTGAGCTCCTTGCCCCTAGTTAAGGAGTAGTTACATTTATACAGTCCTACAATTACATTTGGCCCTTTGAAGGTAACCTTGAGTCTGATGTGGCCTCTGGTAAAAATGAGTTTGACATATAGGCAGGAACATTTGGGGAGTTCAAAAGATTTTAACATGATTAAAAATATCCTTTGTTTGAATTTAGAGCTACCTTACTTATCTTGAGGTATAGGAGACAGTATGTGTCCCAGGGATATACACTATATTGAAATAATCTCAAAAACTAGGAGATCCAAAAGCGTTTCTACCGTGACCGCCAGATACGACATTGGCCATGCGCCACAATGCCAGCATTGTTGTTTGTCTCGCAGTATGCAGGAGTAGCTTAGCAACCCTTAGAATGGAGCTGTATAGGTGTGCATCACTTAAGAAAACACATGTTGAATATAAAAATATAGTCAGATAATTGGGGATGGGGCTTGTTTAATTATTATTTTTACTATATAGCAAAACCTATAAATATTGGAGCCTCCTTTATACATTTAAAATAAAGTTTAACTTGTTAGTAGTTAACCTGATAGGAGTTGTATGGAATAAAGGGCACTTTTACTTTTTTTACTGTGTACATGTATTACATTTTTTTAAAAATAAATTTATTTATTTATTTTTGAATTGATTATGCTGTTACAGTTGTTCTATTCCCCCCTTCATTCCCCTCCACCCTGCCCCCCCAACCCCACCATTACCCTCCCTTTAGTTTATGTCCATGTGTCTCAAGTCCTTTAGGTTCTATATTTCCCATACTATTCTTGCCCCCCCCCATCTATTTTCTATCTACTGTCTATGCTACTTGTTTTCTGTACCTTCTCCCCCTGTCTCCTCCTCCCACTCCCCTGTTGCTAATCCTCCTTGAGATCTTCATTTCTATGTTTCCACTCCTGATCTAGCTGTCCTTTTAGTTTGCTTTCGTTTTAGGTGTGGTTGTTAATAACTGTGAGTTTGTTGTCCTTTCACTGTTCATGTTTCTTTAACTTCTTTTTCTTAGATAAGTCCCTTTAACATTTCATATAATAAGGGCTTGGTGATGATGAACTCCTTGAATTTGGTCTTATCTGAGAAGCACCTTATCTGTCCTTCTGTTCTAAATGAAAGTTTTGCTGGGTAGAGCAATCTTGGTTGTAGGTCTTTAGA